ATTAATTATTATTATTATTATTATTATTATTATTATTATTATTATTATTATTAATATTGTTTTTGCGTTTGTTATCATTCGAATCATTTCCAAGTCGAAACAACCATAAAACAACCAAAAAAAAACGGTTACGAACATAATTTTTTGTTGGTATAAATTCAATTAATGTATTTATTTAGAGGTCGTTTACATAGCTTACTAAGGTTTTTTTCAATGATTCTATTTGATTGATGAAAGGTTGATTGGGGGGAAAAAAATGATACTAATTATTATTATTATTATCATTATTTGCAATTACGTTTTTTTTTTTTTTTTTTGTTGATTAATACGAGGAAAAAAAAAAAATTTTCAAGGGGAAAAATTTAATAATAATGATTGTATAAAAGTCTCAAAAAAAAAAGTTTTTATTTATTTATTTATTTGTTTCAATTAAAATTATCAGTGCGACAAAGTTAATTACTGATTATAATAATAATAAAAATGGTGTTTATTTATTATTTGATTTAAAAAATAATAATTATTAAACGTGGGTGAGGAATTTTTATTAATTATTTATTAATCAAAATTTAATTAACGATCGATGCCGCCATTGATTGATTGTAAAAAAATTACAATCGATAAATAAATACGTAGAAACATTGATAAATTTAAACTCATCTCGTCATTTTATTAATAATAATATTTTATTTTTAATAAATGACAAGAAAAACTTATTTACGGGGTTATTAATAAATAAAATAAAAATTTCCAAAGAATTAATTTTTAATTATTTTAAAATTGTTTTAAATTTAATATTGCAAGACTTTAGGTCAAATAAACTCGGTTGGATTTTTTTTTTTTTTTTTTTTACTTTCACTTAAAAATAAATATGATTAACGGTAATGATAATAATAATAATAATAATAATAATAATAATAATGAATAGGTTTCCTTTCTTACCATTCGTTTGTGTCTTGAAATAAAAACTTAATGAAAAGAAAGAAGAAAAAAAAAAAAATTCTTCTTTACTTGTATAGTTCCAGATAGTAGGATAAAGCCTAAAAAAAAAAAAATTATTATTATTATTATTATTATTATTATGAAATAGGCTTTAACTTTGGTGGTTCAAATCAGGCACTCAGGTGGGTCACGACGTATGAAACCACACACACAAAAACTCTCACTTCCGAATTCCAGCTCTCTACGCGCTCGTTCTTGGAATTATTTTTTCCAGCGTTTTGGATTTAAAATTTATTTTTATCCTACGTATAAAAATAAATGGAAAGAAAAAAAAATGATTCGAGTCAATTATTATTTGAATGAGAAAAAAAATTAACCAACCGTTTTACTGTAAAGTTTTATTATATTTTCTTTCTTTTATTATTATTATTATTATTATTATTATTATTATTATTATTATTATTATTATTATTATTTCCATTCACGTAAAAAAAAAAAAAAAAAATAGTCAAGGTTCTTTATTAAAAGCGTGGTTCTTTAATTTTTGTTTTTTTTTTTTCTTAAATTGTTGAATTGCTCAACAATAATTTTAACAAGAATTTCATTCCATCACATCTTATTTTATTATTATTATTATTTTTTTAAACTTATATTTACTCATTTAATTAAATATATCTTCTGCTTTCTCCGAATGATGATCGCAAATCTCGAAAGAAGACTTTCCAAAACGTAAAAAATCGAGTTTTCTTTTTTTTAGAGTTTGAATGAGTTATTGCAAAATTTTTGCATAATATTTTTCCACGCGAAACTAATTTAAAAAACAAAAAAAAAGGAAAAAAGTATTACTCATAATAATAATAATAATAATAATTTGTAATGATATTTTAAGAAAAAAAAAAATAACATACTTATTCGGAAGCTATTAAATAAATTCTATTAAGTGTTTCCACGTAACAACAAACAACAACAAACAAAATGTAATATCTTCATATATTCCCGTTCATTATTATTATTATTATTGTTATGCGTCATGAATAAATTTTATTTAATTTTATGATTCACCAGATTTTTTACAATTACCGTTAAAAAAAAATTTTTTTGTATATATTGTGCATATATAACGCGAATACAAAGAAAAAACATAAAAACAAAGAAAATGGAGGAAAAAAAAATGTTTTTTTTTTTTTTTTAGATTTAATAAAAGTCCCACCTAATGATATTTCTTATTGAATATGTTTTTATTGTATCATGATAATAAATTTTGTTTTTTGGGGGGGAAAGAAAAATTTCATTTTTTACTATTTTTAACACACACACACACACACACCAAAAAAAGATATAAAATGTTTTGGTTATCTTTTTCAGATATATAAAAAAAAAAAGTAAAAAATGGGAAACAGAATATTTAAAGCACACGGTGAGATTTGTGCATCTCATCCATGGGAAGTTATAGTTGCCACATTTACATTAACTTTATGTTTGTTAACCGTTGATTCGAAACCTTCTACGATTTCACCTGGTAAATCTGTACCATCTTGCGACTGGGATCAAAATTGCGTCGGAATGGATGTAAGTATGAAAAATATTTTTTTAAAAAAATATATATTAGGCCATATATTAATTCTACGACTCGAATTCGATATGAAAATAATCCGTTTATGGTAATAATAATAATAATAATAATCGTCGAATGAATTTTTTTTTTTTTTTTTGTTATAATTTATAATTCATAGGAGGTTTTAATTTTTCCCTTATTTTATCATATATCCAAATAACTTTTTTCCTTTTTTTTTTTTTTTTTTTATACTATCATTGACAAAAAAAAGTATATCTTGATATTAGTTAAAATATATATTAATATAATAATTATTTCAAAATATTATAATTAGGTTTTTGATAATTTGAAATTGTCACGGACTACCGGTTAATATATAGACTTGTGCAACCGGTTCTTATAATTCATTAACATATATTGACCTAAGATGTTTTATAACCGATTATTAATATATATTAATTATACCAACTCCTTTTTTTTTTTTTTTTTTTTTTTTCTCGACCGGAAGTAACGAGTTGAAATTGTTTTTTTTTTTTTTTCTTCTGGTAAACGGAATTGAGGAAATATAATATATATAATGATTTCACGGTCATCATAATCTTGAGTTATTCAAAAAAAAAATTTTCCATTACTCGGGTTTTTTTTTTTTTTTTCGGTTTCCTTTAGCCTAAAATGTTGTGTAAACTTGTCTAATATTAATAAACTAGATAAAAATTCAAATTAGTTTTTTTTTTTTTTTTTTTTTTTTAAATATAAAATATATATATATTATAAAATTATTTTTTGAGAGTATGAAGGGAAATTATTTGAAGAGAAATTTATAAAGTAATATTTAATGCGTAGGTTATGGAGTACGAGTGTTATTTTCGTACAGGTATCAAGAATGTAAAAATAATAAGAGGTAGAAATTATGATTTGGATCTTAATTTTTTTTTTAGGAATACAATGCAGCCGACATGATAATGATGACAATAATACGATGCACGGCAATACTTTACAGCTATTATCATTTTTGTAATTTACACAAATTGGGTTCCAAATACATTTTAGGTAATTTATTTTCAATTCGATTATGTGTTATTAGTATTATTATTATTTTAATCAATTTTTTTTGTTTTTTTTTGGCAGGTATTTCTGGACTTTTTACCGTTTTTTCGAGTTTTGTATTCAGTTCGACAGTTATTAATTTCATGAATGGTGACATCTCCGATTTGAAGTAATTTTTTTAAATTTAAATTTAAATTTGGTGGTGAAGATTAAGTAAGAAGAAGATTATTGTTTTTTTTTTTTTTTTTTTTTTTGTTTTAGGGACGCTTTATTTTTTTTTTTACTTCTTATCGATTTATCGAAAGCAACACTCCTGGCTCAGTTTGCTCTGAGTTCGTCGAGTCCCGAAGAAGTAAAACATAATATTGCAAAAGGTATGGCCAAACTAGGACCCATCATCACACTCGATACACTCGTGGAAACTCTAGTCATCGGTGTAGGAACATTATCAGGTTTGATTTTGATTGATGTGTAATATATGTAGAAATGAATTTTTTCTTTATTGTTATCCTTGGTTATTATTATTATTATTATTATTAGGAGTTCGTCGGTTAGAAGTTTTGTGCGGTTTTGCTTGTATGTCCGTCGTCGTAAATTACATTGTTTTCATGACATTTTATCCGGCTTGCCTTTCTTTGATTCTCGAATTGTCACGAATCGGAGAAAAGGGACGAATAATGTGGCAAAATAAATTTATGGTTTTTAAAGCTTTAACGGAAGAGCAAGAAAAGCCAAATCCTGTTGTCCAAAGGGTAAAAATAATAATGTCTGCCGGCCTTATGATTGTTCACGCGAGAAGGTTGGTGCTCATAGGTTCTTCTAGTAAAATATTGAAATTTTAATTATTATTTTAATCACGCAATTGAATTTATTTAGTCGATGGACGTTTCAACCCGAAGAAGAAGAAATGGTATCACCTTTGGCTGTTGTCGACCACATGTTACCATTGAATGCCACTGGAGAACCTTTACTTCATTATAATATTATGAGATGGATTACTGTAAATGCCGATCAAATTGTCATTCTCGTTTTACTTTTTGCTGTTACCATTAAATTTGTACTATTCGAAGAAAAAGAACAACATTTTTTCAAACCGAACGTCATTACCGATGGTATGTTCTAACCTTTAAAAAAAAGGAAAAACATTAGTGTTATGAATACCATGTACTCATTCTTGTTTATTGTAGAAGTAAAAAATGTGAACAACGACTCATCATCGCCGGAAACTCAAGAAACGGAAACGGATTCGAAATTATTATTTAATTCGGAAAGTATAAGCGAAGTTTTTAGCGATTCACTCGAAGATAAACAAGTTAAAATTGACAAACAAATTCAAACAGAAATGGTAAAACCTGGTTTCGACAACAATTCTAAAACGCTCGCCGAGACAAAAGTAACCGAGTTGCCTGTAAAAAATAGTGACAGAGATTTAGATGAATGCATTAAGTTATTTAAAGAAGTAAGTTTTTTTACTGATACACCATTGATTGAAAAAATTTTTACCAAAAGCCAAAGTTTTACCCTTGGAGTAAATGTTTATACATGTTTTTTAAAGTTAGGAGCAGAAGCATTGTCTGATGACGAAGTCATGCGATTAGTACGTAACAAACAAATAGCAGCTTATCAACTTGAAAAGGCTGTCAACGATCCTGAAAGAGGAGTCGGTATTAGAAGAAAAATCGTTTCGTCTGATGGAAATTTCAGAGAAGCTCTTGAAAATCTTCCTTACACAAATTACGATTATAGTTTGGTAATGAAATGCACGCGAATATTTCAAAAAAATAAATAACTGAAAAATATTTTTAAAATTTTTATTAACTTGTTTTCCAAACAGGTAATGGGTGCTTGCTGCGAAAATGTTATAGGCTATGTTCCAGTGCCGGTCGGAGTAGCAGGTCCGCTTTTACTAGATGGAAAATTAGTATACGTTCCAATGGCTACCACCGAGGGCTGTTTAGTAGCCTCCACAAATAGAGGGTCCAGGGCATTATTAAAATGCGGAGTCATTAGTCGCGTTGTGTCAGATGGAATGACAAGAGGTCCTGTTATTCGTTTTCCTAATATGGCCAGGGCCAGGTGTGTGCACACGCTTGTCAAAAATTTTTTTCATATATAAATTTGTTAATATTTCTTTAAAAAATTAATAAATAATAATATTTTAGTGAAGCTATGACGTGGATGCAAAACCCAGAAAATTTTGAAATATTAAAAGCAAGCTTTGATTCATCATCTAGATTCGCAAGACTTTCTAAAATTCATATTAAAATAGCAAGTAGACATTTATTCGTTCGATTTATAGCACAAACGGGAGATGCAATGGGAATGAACATGCTTTCCAAGGTCAATATTATTTTTAAAAAATTTTTTTTTTATTAATACCTGATAACTTACACTAAAGTAGACATTTTGAATGTATTTAAAGCTGACAAGGTAATAGCAAATTCGATAATTTTTGCAGGGAACCGAAATCGCTCTTAATACCGTGAAAGAACACTTTTCCGATATGGAAATATTGAGTTTAAGTGGAAATTTCTGCGCAGATAAAAAACCTGCTGCCGTAAACTGGTAATAAATAAGCATCAAAATAATAATTTTTTTTTTTTTTTTGCAAGTTTGGTAATATTGTTTACATTAGGTTCGTTATAATTATAGGATTGAAGGACGTGGAAAATCTGTAGTAGCCGAAGCTATAGTACCAGCAGACGTTGTTACAAATGTACTGAAAACTTCTGTTCAAGCTCTAATAGATGTGAACATAACCAAAAATCTCATTGGTTCTGCCGTTGCAGGAAGCATAGGAGGTTTTAATGCACATGCAGCTAATATTGTGACTGCTATTTTCATTGCGACGGGACAGGTATGGAAAAAATTTTGTAAGATTTTTTCTCATGTATGTAACCCATTTTTTTAAAAAATTAATTTTTTACTTAAAGGATCCCGCTCAAAATGTTGGAAGTAGCAATTGCATTACCTTAATGGAACCTTGGGGAGACGATGGTAATGATCTTTACATTTCTTGTTCAATGCCATCGATTGAAATTGGTACCGTTGGAGGTGGTACTGTTTTGCCTCCACAATCAGCTTGCCTAGATATGCTCGGCGTGAAAGGTTTGTAAGGCTTAAGGTTTTCGAACCGTTTTCCACGAGTCTTATCCCTACATTTCAAAAATATTTTATCGCAGGTTCTAATGAAAAAAATCCCGGAGAAAACGCATGCAAGCTTGCTAGAATAGTTTGCGGTACCGTTTTAGCTGGTGAATTATCATTAATGTCAGCTCTTGCTGCTGGTCATTTAGTCAGAAGTCATCTCAAGCACAATAGATCTTCTACAAAAGGAAGCACAGAACATTGCATGGCAAAATCGTGATAACAATCATCAATTTTCAAATGATAATAATTGTAAAAAAAAAAAAAGACATTACAAAAAAAAAAAAGTCTTCCCGCCATAATTTTTTTTTTTTTTTTTTTTTTTTTTGTACTAGAATAACAACCTTTCAATTTTGAATTTTTTTAACCTAGTAAAATTAATATGAAGGTACTTAAAAATTTAATTACATAATTTGAAAATAATATTAAAATAAAACAAAAAAAAGTCTGAATTAATTAATGAAATATGTTAATAAAAATGCTGGTTACAAAAAAAAAACTTGATGAATTAGTTTGATATTTATGAATTTTTATAATTCTCATGTAAAAAAAAATTAAGTTTTGATTTTTATAATATCTCTTTAATATAAAAAAATAATTAGTTTATAATAGTTTATTCGTAACTCTGGGCTACATTTTAATTTTTTTTTTTTTTTTTTGACTTTTTTTGTATTTTGACTTTTATGAGTTTTTTTTTTTTTTATTTAAATTTTTTTTTGCAAAATTTCAAAAATTGTTAAAATATCATTTTTATGACTAGGCTGCAGTTACCAATAAATTATTTTTAAATTTTTAATAAACGGTTTTTATTTTATTTTATTTATTTATTTTCATTAAAATTTTAGACAATCTTAATTTTATTTTAAATAAATAACTCAAACAAATTTATTATAAGGTACAATCCATACTTAATTTAAGAAAAAATTCTTTTATTTTCTAACCTAAAATTAACATCCATTAAATTTTTTTTTTTAATTTTGAAAGAAATTTTATTATGATTTATTTATTTAATTATTCTTACATGAGAAAATAATTTTTTAATGATTTTATTATATAATAATAAAAAAAAATGTTTTAATTAAACCAAAACTTAACTGACACAATTGCTTCTAAAACAAGTTTTCAAACATAATTTATCGGTTTCAAAAAAAACTCTGATAATCCTCCCATGTGATTAAATCAATCCATCAAATGTTAATCTAAATTTCAGTCGTTTTTTTTTCACTTACGTAACTTTTTAACTTAAGTTAAATTTTTATAATGATTTTAATTATGAATAATAATAATAATATAAAATTTATTTATCATTATTTAAGGATGAATAGGGAAATTGTAAAAATGAATTTTTTTAAAAATAGGAGGTATTGCACTGCGGTTAATGTTAAACCAAAATCTTCTGAAGTATTAACGTCTTATATAAAACAAACTGGCGAGCCACCTTGGACATCTTATTTTGTAAGATATAAAGATGTTATTAATGATCAACACGGTATGTCACATTTTAACTGGAATGTCGGTCGTAGTAATTATACAATATTAAGAACCGGCTGTTTTCCTTTTATCAAGTATCATTGTACTAAAAGCCCTATTAGGGATTTGAAAATAGAAGATGTTTTTTATCGTGTAATAAAAATTATTAATTTCGGTATGGATTATACGTGGTTATAGTTTAAAATATTTATTTAGTAAATGTAGGAAAAATTTAATTTTATTTCTTCTTTTTTTTTTTAAGGTATACCTTGTCTTTTATACGGTATAGCTGCTCTGTTTTTAATAAAGCATAAAGAAGCTGTATTTGTTAACAACACAACTGTTAACATTTATTTTTTGATAAAAGAAAATACTGGTTCTCCACATTGAATGTCTATTCAAAATAGGACAGAAACTTATTAAGGTAATTATTTTAAATAGTTTAAAATTTACATCCAAGTTTAAATATTTGTTAGTCTTTAATATTTAAAGTTAGAACAAACAATTTAGAAAACAAAGTAAAAATTTTTTCTGTTACAATTATTTATTTTTTATTGAAAGAAGAAAATAGTTTAATAGGTTTTATGGTTTTTTAAATTAAAAAAAAAAAAAAAAGGAATAATAATAGAATTTGCAATCAACACTATTTACAATGTAAGTTTTCAAAATCGTGAAATTATTTTATATATTAATTTTTACAATTTTTCGACAAACATTTATGAAAAAAATTTTTTTTATCCCTGTAAATTACAGTTATTATAGCTTTTTTTGGTAAGAAAAAATTTGCATTACCCTTTTTAGCTCCTAAAATTGTTATCGGAACATCATAAGTTTTCCTGAAATTATCAATTAAAATCTTAAATTATTTCTAAACTAAATGTATGAATTAATAATCTCTCTTTAAAAAAAATAATTATTTTAGGTAAATTATTAAAAAAAAACTTAAAAAACTATCAAAAAAAATAAGTATTTATTGTGTAACTCAAAACTTACTTGTTAACAATAATGATAACTACATTTTTCTGTGGTGTTCGAAATCCAATCGCTTTTATTACAGATTTAGATATTTTTAAATCAATTCTAATCGAATCTTTTGGTATAAATTTTGAAAAATGACCCATTGCATAGAACAATGGCTGTTTATAAAATTCATTTCCAGTACCATTGACAATAATAGCAGCATCTGCAAAATTTTTAGCCCAACTCGGTCCACCTTTTAAATCTAATGCTAAATTTGAATCCATCCAACCAGATACCCAATGATTTAAATCCTTTAAAAGATAATTTTTTAATTTTTTTTTTTTATTTTCAGATCATTTTCAACAATGAAATTGTACTTAATTGTTTTATAAAAAAAAATAATTTACTTCAATAATACTTTCAGCATATTCTTCTGCTCTTTCCCAGGAACCTAAAATCAATGGAGAAGTTGTGCCTTTCCATTTATTAAAAGAAGCTTCTGTGCTTATGATAAATTTATCTGGAAATTCAGCTTGTGTTAAATCTAATAAACGAGATGGAAATAAGAAATTCCAGTACCATTGAACACCGATTCCATTCACGTAAGCTTTTGTTTTTTGATTTTTAAACACCTGATTGTCAAATTAATTTCTGACAATTAATTTGAAAGAATTCTTCAAATTAACAATTTTTTAACAATTGAATTTTTGTTTATTTAAAAAATTTACAAAATAACTTACTAATTTTGGCCACCAGGGTAAAAAAAATCTAGAATCATCCAAAATGATAATATTTGTTTTATTAAATTTAGAATTTCTAAGATCAGGTCCTAAATTTTGAAAAATCCAGTGAGTTTGCGAAAGTGGAGTCCAACCCATGCAATTAAGAGGATAAAATGGTATGAGACCAGTAAAAGGTTGATAACCGGTAGTGATTCCCCAAACTTTTAAACCGAATTTATCATATTCTTCTAAAAATCTGGTATGTTTTAATTGTCATTAATGTGATTAATAAATTCTTTTTTTAATCGAATTTAAACAAATTTTTGAAAAGGAAAATGTTAAATTATAACATTTTTTTACACTTACTCAATTTACCTAATAAAATATTTACTCCACAATGAGTAATATTTTTCTTTTAGAGTACCAATTCCTGTGTAATCGTTATTTGTTTTCATCCATGGTGGAGCCGTCCAAGCAGTACCCACTATTTGAACTTCTTTATCGCTCACATTCATTATTTTTAACAAATTGGGAATCTATAATATATAATAATTTTTTTTGTCTTAATGGAATTTTACCACCTGTTTGAATGTTTTTAACTGATTATCAGTTTAACCTTCAAGTTGAAATCTTCATGAGAAAGTTTAAAATAAGTTAATGATACATCATTATCTACATCATCCAAAGTATATGGTCTGTTTGAATAATCATTTCCTCCGATGGGTAACCTTAATAAATTATATTCTATACCCTTGTTTGAAAAATATGAGAATAAAAAATGATTTCTTGCATCTTCACTAAGTGAATTTATATTAATTGCAGCCGCATCTGATAGCGAACCACCAAATCCAATTATTTTCTGATAAGTTTCACTGGAATTTACTGTAATTTTAATGGCTGTAAAAAAAAAAAAAAAAAAAAACTTAAAATGTTTGCAAATCGCAAAATCAAAAAAAAGAAAGAAAAGTAGTTGTAATTGATGTCTTACATTTTGGATTCATCCATCGTGCAAAATTTTTTCTACTGTATGAAAATCTCAAACCATTTTTATCAGATACGTACATGTTAAATTTTCGTGAAGGAAAAGGTGGAATGGAATTGATAACATCACAATGAGTTGCATTACACACACAAACTTTATTATCATTACCGTAATCGCGTAAAAAACATTCAACATTATCCGTTTGTCTCCCTTCGAAAATATTTATAAATAATAATAAAAAAATAATAATAATAAAACTATTGCAAGTCATTTTAATTTTAAAAAATAATGATAATAATTTTTCATTGATGAAAAAAAAAAGAAAATTAATGGCAATCACTATTTACGTATATGATTTACATAAAAGTGAATTTTTCTTTGTTAAATTGATTTATAATTTTTGTATTTTATTAATTTTAAAAAATTGACGTAAGGTAAACAAAGAAAAAGAAAAAAAGTGTTAAAAACGTTTCGCATTCGAGTTAAAATTTACTTGAATTTTATTTATATTTTTGTTTAAAAAGGAAATAAATTATGCAAAAATTAAGGTTAAAGGTCATATTCAAAGGTCTGAGATTAATAAACTTTTTACACAATAATAACAAAATTTGAAATCAATCATTTAAAATCATCTTTTATTATAAATCAAATGGAAAAAAAAAATTATTATTATTATTAAAAAGTTTATTTATTCTTTAAATATTTTAATTTAAAAAATAGTAATAATAATAATAATAATACTTAATAAAAAAACTTATTCGCGTTTAGTTTTAGTGAAAATGGTTATAAGTTTTTCCTTTTTTTTTTTTTTTGTAATAATTTCGTAGTAATTAATTAATTTTAATTTAACTTAAGTAGATTTTTTTTAAAAAAAAATTATTATTATTATTATTATTATTATTATTATTTTTTCGGCCATGGATATTCGTTTTCAATGTCACAACCCAAATCCCTCAGTGTTATCTTCGCTTCATAATTTAATTCTTTTGGAAATTTTTTTCTAGATTCGTTTAAAAAATTTTCCGCACCCAAATTAATAAATTTCGGTCGAAATTCAGGAGAACGAGCTGTTATGTTTCTAACTGCCCAACATCCATTTTTCTTTTTAAAAAAAATCAAAAATTAAAAAATTACTCCCTAGAAAAATTAAAAGGTAATTGAATGAAAAAAGTTATGATAATAATAATAATTTACCAAAATGACCGGATTTTCTTTATACATATTCATAACCGTCATTAGAAGATCAGGTGCACCAGCATCAACTAAATGTTGTGCATTATTTGGACACCTAAGAGCTAAAGCGGAAATGCAAACACAACCGGCAGCAACAAGTGCGGGGGATACCTTTTAATTAAATAAAAATAATTACGACAAACAAACGTTTTATTTTTATTAACTGTAAAAAATGTTATTTTTAGACCTCCTCACTTTATGTCTGTAAATTGTTGACATGATAACAGGTGCAGCACCACATTGTATAATAGGTTCTTTAACATAATCGCATCCAGCCAAACCTTTAAGAAGTAAAAGACAATATCTGCACATTTTCTATAAAAAAAAAAAAAAAGAGGTAAGAATTTTATTAATAATTAATTTTCTTGATTTTGAATCAAATAATTAATCAATTCATTAAATAATTTTTTTTTTTTTTTTTAAATTTTTATCATTTGAATTTTCCATTTAAAAAAAAAAAAAAAAAAAATTCACACAGGTGGTCGACAATTTGATGACAACAAAAACAAATATGGAGTTCAAAATATTATCATTTAAATAAATTAAATAATTAGGAAAAAGTAAAAAATTAAATTATTATTATTATTATTTGATAATAATAATGTTTAAATCTACAAGTTTTTTTAATCAAAGGAAAGATAATTGCCCAGAATATAATAATTCAATGGTTTGTGTGTAAAAAAAAAAAATATAAGAAAAATAAAAACCATTAATTTTTTTTTTTATTAATAATTATTTATTTTATTTTATTACAGGCACCACTTACATTATTAGCAATCATTTTTATTATTTATCTGATTGTCATTTCTATTATTTAAATTATTGAGTTACAACACACACACAAAACAAAAAAGAAAATTTTAAATGTAAAAAAATTGTATTCTTTTTTTATATATAAATTAAATTTTATGTGAAAATTATAAAAAAACCAACATGTCTCAACTTTACTATCAACAATTATGGAATAAAACTCAAGTGATTGTACATAAAAATTTAGAATTTGAAGATAGCATAAGAAAAAAACAACCCATATTTGATGTGAATCTTATAAAATGGTTGATTGGTCATTTGTATATAAATTACGTGAGAATTGTTAATTCTTTGGATAAATGTTACGATCAAATGTTTCATCCTCAGAAAAGAGAAGTCATCGGAAGGCTGCTGGACATGGCTTTGGGTCGTCTTTTGGAATTGAAAGAGGATTTGGTACGAATCGAACTCGATAATTATTATTTTTTCGATAATATTCTCATCGAACTTAAATTAACTCATCAAGATTTGGAAATTCACGTTCCGCGATATTTTTGGAGAGATAAAGAAAAAGAAAAAATACACAGGAAGTATTTGATAAATAAAGTTTTTAAAGAAGCGGAAAGAGAAAAATTTCGACGGGACTATTTGAAAAATATACCAGAGGACGCGCAGGAAAAAGCGTGGGAAAAGTATTTGATGAAAGAAGAACAAGAGAGAATGGAAAAAGAAAAAATTGACGAACAGCATAGGAAAATTCTCGGTACGACAGCAAAGAAAGTATCATCTTTAGAACAACTCGTGAGTGATATCCAGGCGTCAAAAGAAGAAGATAACGATGATGATAATGTTGTGAGTACAATATTATTAGTTCAAAAACGTGAAAAAGCTAAACACGGGAAAATTTTAAATACCATACCTGAAAAATACAAAAGACTAAAAAATGTTGCGTCAAAAAAATCTGAGGACATTGAAAATGCATCCGCTTTGATAATTCAAAAACATTGGAAAAGGTATTTGAAAAGAAGAGAAGACCAACATAATGTCGTACTTGAAATATTAGGAGTTATAAAACCTAGTTTTATTGATAAAAAGACAATATTAAGAATTAAAAGTAGGGAAAAGTTGGTGAGGAAAATTCAAGATGAAAGGCAAAAAGATTATGAGGAAGCCATTGAAACAATTAAAAATAAAATTGTAAGTTTTTATTCGGATGGAATGGAAGAAGGTTTGGTTGAAGAAATAAGAAATTGGTTTCATTGGTTTTTTCAAAAAACTAATTTTTTACCTGATTTCCCACCGGCAAAACCTATAATACCAACTGGTAAAGTTTTAGGCGTTCCAAAAGTTTTAGGACCGGATTTTGCTGAAAAAGCTTTCCCTCAAGAAAAAAACAAAATAACGGGATACATTCCCAAAACTCAATTAGCTCTTAGTTTAGCCGGTTTAACGCCTATAGGTGGTTCCGCATTGGTATCAGCCGGTCATTGGTTAACCCCCCTCGAATTTCTTATTTGTCAAAAAGAGTTAGAAAAAAAAGGTAAAAAGGATAATAAGAAAAAGGATAAAAAAAAAGAGGAAAATAAAAAAGACAAAAAGGAAAATTCAGGAGCGTTTGAATTAAGCTTAAGCACTTTTGAACCTTTGTTGAAAAACGCAGACAGAGATTACAGGAGTATTTGGTTAGGTTTAAACGAAGACAAAAATTACGATCAGGGTTACGTTCATAGTTTGATAAAAGAAGACAAATGTTGTGAGCTATCGATGGAAATACGAAAAACTGTTGATGAATTTATGAAATTAGAATTGGAAATCCTTAAAGATGCTCTTGAGAGAGATAAAAATCCGAAAAAAAGGAGAAGGAAAAAAAAAAAGAAACCCAAAGGAAAAGGTAAAAAAAAAAAGGATAAAAAAGAAAAGCCGGATCCGACAGGGGATAGAACATTGGATGACTTGTTTATGGAATTGTATAAAAATGGTATCATACGAGACTACGAAGAAGTACATTTGAATGACTACATTTCGGAAAGATCTTTTGCTGCTTTTGATTTACGTCAAAGACTTATTGATCAGCCTCCATCTACTGGAGATGTTAAAGATCTCATCTTACAACTTTGCATTCTTCCGTTAGGCTCTGCAAGAATTCATCAACTTGGTCCCCTCATTAAATCCGTTTGCCTTTTGGGCCCGGAAAAATCAGGTAAAGAATTTTTAGCGAGAATAATTTGTACCGAAACAGCCGCGGTTATGTTCGATTTATCGCCGGAAAATGTGGCTGGTAAGTATCCCGGTAAAGAAGGTTTGAAAATGCTTTTGCATTTAGTTGAAAAAATGTCACGTGCTTTACAACCTAGCGTTATATTTATAAATGGAGCAGAAAAAACATATTACAAAAAAACACCTAAAACGGAAAGACACCTGGATCCTAAACGTATGGGTAAAATCCTTAAAAAAATATTAAAAAGAATCAAACCGAAAGATCAAGTTCTTTTACTAGGAATAAGTAGTCGACCGTGGCTAGCGAATAAAAGAAAATTAGTAAAAACCTATCAAAAATTAATTTTGGTACCTCAAGTAGATTACGGTACATATTTTAGAATATGGCAAACGTTGCTATCCCCTTACGACAGCTTACCGAAAAAATTTGACATATCTTGTTTGGCAAAAATATCTGCTGGATACTCAACCGAAACCATCATGGATACCGTGAATAATATTTTTACATTGAGCAGAATCGGTTGCAGTTCTCAAGAACCGTACACGCACCAAGAATTTTTAGAAGAACTTTTAAAAAATTCAAATATCGATCAATCGTTAATAGAAAAAAATTTAAAATTTTTTGCATCGACTGACCTTCCGAAAAAAAAGAATAAAAAATTGAAACAAATAAGAGAAGAATTAGAAAAAGCTAAGAAAAAAAAATAGAATCACCTTAAATTTCATCCTAACAAATTTTTTTAAAATAAATTTCTTTCCCCCCCCTTCCCCCCTCCCCCCTTATGAAAATTATTAAATCTATAACTAAAATATTTTTCAAATTTTATTATTATTATTCCCTATTTTAATTTTTTTTTAATTTTTTTGTTAAATTTTAACCCATTTTAATAAAATTATCTTACCTCATCATCGCCATATTTTATCATTGTATCCATTGTATTTCTTAATCCTCCCTGTTCGTACACTTTCAAGCAAAATTCATCCCTAACTAAAAGTACTGTTATTGTTGGAATGACTTCATATAAAATGGTTAAATCATCATTATAAGCTGAAAAAAAATAATAATAATAATAATTATTACAAAAAAAAAAAAAACTTAAAAATGTAAAATGTAAAACAAGTATTTATATATTTACTTCCTAAAAATGATATAAGTGTACATAGAGTTTCATTAGCAAGTGCTTTTGCATGTTCATGAGAATTACCATGTACAACATGCATATCATCATCACAAACTAATTTTCTTGTTACTTGACAAATTTTTATTATTAATTTCATTTGATCTTTATACGTTTGTAATAAATTTCTAAAACTATCTTGAATTTTCATTTGTATTAATTGAGATTTATTTTTTTCATTTGCTGTTATGCAATTTTTTATCCATTTTAAATTTTCTAATATCAATTCAAGATCTACATTTGTATTAAGAAAACTGAAATTTGAAAAACAGTAAAAAATTAAACTTTACAATTATTATGAATTTAAGTAAATTTAATAATATAAAAATTTTTTTTATTTTAAACTTACGCTATCATATATTCTGCTCCAGAGGTATCTAATACATTTGTATTACCATTACATAAACTTGTTAATGTTTGTAAGGCTGCTAAAAGATATTTATCTTTTAAATGTCTTAAACATTTAACTAACAAACCGTAAAGTCCCTAGAAAAAAAAAAAAAAAACAAATTTTAATGATAATTAAATAAAATAATAAATTTGAATAAATTTTTTTAATATATGTATTTACTTCTTTTGCAGCGTGACATCGAACGGCCAAATCTTTATCTAATTCAATTTTAAGTACGGTTAATTCATTATTAATATCAGAATCTCTTTCAGGATAAACTTTATTCAAAAGTTTTTCAATATTTTTTACACTGTGGGAAACAACAACTAAACGTGAACACTCCATATTATTGACAAAGAATTTTATTCTTAGGTTTGTTACTTTTAATAAAAAGTATTTTTTTTTTTTTATTTAAATAAAATATTGTTTATCATAATTATAATGTTTGTATACAAAACAGCATAAAAAATATTTCATAAAAATAATAACATGGCCATCTTTTTTTTTTTTTTTTTTAAAGTTTTATACTTTTATACTTTTTTTTTTTCATGGTAGGAAAATTATTTAAGACTTAAAACATTACCACACGTTAGAAAGTTTTCTTGTAATTCATTTTTTTTTTTTAATCTTTAAAACTTAAAAAAAAATCATTTTAAACCGTTTCTTAATTATAGTTTCAAACTATTTTACATGTGAAGAAATCAATTTATTTATCATTTATTAAAATTAAAATGAAAGTAACTTTTATAATAATAACTTACTAGTAATTCTCACTTATTAATCAGTAAATATTAAAAACTTTCTCGTTTTTTCACTTTTTAAAAATAAATATTAATATTATTTATAATAATTGCGGTTAAAATAATTTCTAATAATTCGGCTCTTAAAAATTTTACTTGGCGCTAAAATTACCATTAAATTTACAAAAGTGCCAACCTTCAAAAAATAATAATTGTAGTCTTGGTTAAAGTAATCACTTTAGTAATATTTAAACTTTATTTCAGTTTTAAAGGTTTGTTTTTAATGGTATAGTTAGTACAAATCGTAAAATATTAAAAAGAAAAGTTACACTTATCGACAAAAATTTTTGTAGAGCAATTATTTAACTTGCAATGGCAAAAAATCAGACTAAAGGTGACGTTAAATTAGGATTAAATTGTATTATATGTGAGGATAGTAAAATACAAGGAGATGTAACCATAGGAAATGGTACTATAATTCATCCGAGAGCTTGTATAATTGCAGAAGATGGACCAATCATTATAGGAGAACAAAATTTAATTGAGGATAAAGTTATTATAATTAATAAAAATACCTCTGGTTCAGAATCTTCTGTTATGCAAATTGGAAATTCAAATGTTTTCGAAGTAGGATCTAGAAATGAATCTCTTAACATAGGAGATAGTAATGTTTTAGAGGCAAAATCATTTGTTGGACGACAAGTAGTTATTACTAATAATTGTATCATTGGTGCTGGATGTAAAGTAACACATCCAGAAACTTTAGCAGAAAATTCAGCATTTTATGGACCTGATTGTGCATTGAAGATTTCACAAGGGCATCAAACGCAACTTTTACAAATGGAATTTTTAGCCAAACTATTACCCAATTATCATTATTTAATGAAGAAAAAAAAAATGGCTTCAAAAAGTCAAGCTCATTCTTAGAGCACAGTTTTCTGTATTTATTATTAAAACCCATTTCGATTAGGAGTTATAAAATTTAAACTTGAAGCTTTATTAATTTTTACTATAATTTATAATTGTAACATTAGCTTTAATCTTTATTAAGTATATATGAATATTTGTTATGTGATCCGAACATAAAAAAGTACATTTAAATAATATTTATTTTCAATGAGTCTCTGAAATTTATTTTATTTTAACATAAAAAATCCCTTTGTGATATCTTCAAAATCCAATTTATTTTACTTGGAATAGCTTTTATCATAACATTAGCAAAATTTTTTGTAAAAATTTATTTACTAAATCGTTGAAAATATGAAAATATGTTGAACCTAAATATGAAAACCTGTTGACATTTCAGTTAATTCGGTAAGTATTTTAGTTATTAAAATAATATATTTTTTTAAATATGTATTTTATACAAGTTCAAACAGATTTAAAAAAAATTCTTTCAACTCTTACTCATTCTTTTTTTATTTTCCTTAAAAAAAACATGATATTATTTTAAGTACTTGAAAATTACAATTTTAAAGGTAATTATATTATTCATAAAATATATTACATAAAACTTATAGTAAAAAAATTACCATTTCTACAGCTAGAATTATATAAATACACATGATTTTACATTTAGACGGGAAATTCTTTTTAGAAAATATACTTGTAAATCGATATTATTTAATAACAAGTAATATCACTCACACTTTTTTTTTGTATAAAAAATAAAAATGTTAATTTTTTGTATAAATGTAAAAATAATATTAAGTTTAAGGAAAATGAAAAAATATTTTAGATATATAATTTTTGGTATTCTATATAATGTGTGGTTATATAAATTTTACATTCTTAAATAGAAAACGACAGAGAGGTAATATTTTTTTTTTTAAATAATGAGATAATTTTCTAATCAAGCATTTTTTATGGTGCTTTTTATTGACATAAAATATTTTTAACATTTCTTTAAAACTGATAAATTAAAAATTCATTCATGCACTTTATTATTCTAGTATTTTTCATGGTTTTACAATTATAATGAAATAATATAGCATTACTTTTTTTTTGTTTTAGATGTTTTAATTTAGGTATGAAAATATTTTGTAAATTTTTTATCTTTTTAAACAAAGTTTTTATATTGAAAAATGTTAAATATTTATCCTTCAGATTTTGCTGACTTTATTGGTAATTCTGTTTCACTGGTGTCATCATCAAAATTACTCGTATTATCTCCATAAACTTTTTCACTATCTAATAAATGATCTGAAGAAGACTGGTTAATCTTTTGATATATGGTCAGAGCTTGAGCAACAACTTGAGAAACATCATTGACATTGCTGGGTATTATTAATGTATTACCTTTTTGTGCTAATTGATTAAAAGCTGAAACATATTGTTGTGCTACATTTAACGCAGCAGCATTTTTCCCATCCTAAAAAAAAAAATTATAATTTTCAATTTAGTAATTGACTGTGTTATTTTATAAGGTTCAAATGCAGTAATAATTAATATTCTAATTTTAAATATTATTTAATAATTGTACTTACAGGGCATTGTAGACTTTTAGCTATAACCTCTAAACCTCTTGCTTTAGCTTCAGCGATAGCTAATAAAGCTGTCGCCTCACCATCTGCTCTATTGAT